CATAGTTGAGGTATACCTATGATGAAAATTACAGGCCTCTCTCATCTTTTTAAGTGGGAGAACTTGCACAATTGGTGGCTGACTAAATACTTTTTTGCCCCACTGTATGTCAACAGATGTACCATCTCAATGAGAGGTACAACAGATGTACCATCTCAGTGAGAAGTACACCAAAGACTACTACAAATATCTCTTTTAGTCAAGGATAAAAATGAATCTTTATAACTGAATTCTTTGCTTTTTGTTGAATTACATGACTTATTAATGCATGAGCCATTTGATGCAAAATGAAGGTGGACATTTAATGTTACTTTCAGTACATATTGCTTAATGAAGGCAAACTTATTCAGTTAAAAGATCATTCACATCCAGTGAAGAATATGATCTATTCAGGAATGCTGGATTAATACTTTGTATTTCAGACACTCTTCAGTGCATTGCAGAAATGCTGAGAATCACCAAACAAGCCATGGGATTAGATGTCCCCATTATTGAGAAAAAACTGGAGAGGTGAATTTCTATTTTTTCATTTTCATAAATTCCCAGGGTCCTAAATTACTTTCACTTACAACACTTGTAGTATGTATTACCATCTATTAGTATTAGTAATTAATGGCTTATCTACTTTTATTTAAATAAAATGTAAATATGTAAATTTTGATGCTTTGCCTTTGGAGGTTGAATTTACTACATCCTTAAATAATTATATTACCTGAAGAGTCAGTCTTGCAATGGGCTGAGGATGGTGGGTACCTAGATGCTAGAATCAACAATATCTATGGTATCCTTAAACCCCATTAAACAAGGGATGAGTTAATCGTATATCCAGGGTGGACGAAAAGTCAAGCCCTCTAGGCCAATAAGAATGTTTTATTTATTTATTTTTTTCCCCAGAGAAAATGTTACTGTACATAGGAATGTACAAAGGTCATGGATCAGATGAGTAAGGTGTGTTTAAAAGAAAATGGTAACCGATTCAAACATTTAGTGTAATTTATATAATAAATTCCTTATGGGGCCTGACTTTTGGTATGCCTTGTATAATAGAAGAAGAGATTAAAGGCAGCTCTATTTTTAATGTGTGAATAACAAAGGAAGTTACTGGTCTTCTCACTTTTGTAGGAAGAGCAGCAAACCTCATGAGGACATCATTGGGATCAGATCCCAAAATAGAGGTTCTTTGGCCCAGGGGAAGAATTACTTAATGAGCAAGTTTTCATCTCTTAATCAAAAAGTGAAACAAACCAAATCCAACGTAAATATCAGCAACCTTAGAAAACTGGGAAACTTTACAAAGCCTGAAATGAAAGTCAACTTCTTAAAGCCCAATCTGAAAGTAAATCTTTGGAAATCTGACAGTAGTCTTGAAACCATGGAAAATGCCATGACTGATACAAACGCCAATATAGAATCAGACATTGAGATCTCTTCTGATAACGACTCATTCCATTCAGATGACTTCCTGACAAATTCCAGATCTGATGACGACCAGCAATTAATGGACTCTTTAGATAATGGACAGATAGATTATGTCTTACCTAGTTGTGGTATCATTGCCTCTGCTCCTCGGTTAAATTGCCGGTCCCAATCTGTGAGCAGCACTGATATCAATATTAGCATTCCTGTTCCTTCAGAGATCCATGTTGCAGAATCTGGAGGCCAAATGAACAATGAACCTGAAGGCAAAGGATCTCAAGAACCTCTTTCTGCAGAGAATACAGCACCAGATGTCACTAAACAGATTGATGTTTACTGTCACAGATTTGTCCAGGATGCTAAAATTAAGATGAACAGTGTTTCAGAACATGAGAGGGGTTCTCAAGAACTCCAAGAAGAAGAAGATTATATTAGCAATAATGCTCCTAAGACAACTGATTATTGTTTGGGAACTAATAAGGCTCCTTCTAGACCATCTAAACTGGATGTATCATTTTCAGAGACAGGACCACAATTCTTAGTGGTTGAACAGGTGAATTTATTTAAGTCTCATAAAAGCCCAGGCTCCTCATCTATTGTTCTTGAAGCTGAGGCAGGGTTTCATGTGACCCCTTCACCAGCAGAAAGTAATGGTAGCAAGGCAGTCTCTCCCTTTGCAAAGATACGCAATTCGATGGCACAGGTAGCTAATATTACACAAGCTGGCTTGACCCAAGGAATCAACTTTGCTGTGGCTAAAGTCCAGAAGAGCCCAGCAGAACCAGAAACTATAAATGAAATTCAGCAAAATGAATTGAAAGAAATGTTTACACAGTGTCAAACACGAATAATTCAGATTTAGAACTCAAGATCCAGTTGTATATACTATTAAACAAATAACTGTGTGTAACGTAACTTCTAGGAAAGAAGGGCAAACTGCCACTGAGTATTGGTATTAAGAATACCAGTAACAATGTTTACAGAAAACTGATGGAGAAACTAATTGGGTTTTGAACAGGTTTCAGAACTGTTTTTGTAGTGAGTGAGTGATGGTAAATTATACTAAACAGGTAACTCACACACCAATGGTTGACGTGCATGCTGTTCGTTTAGGTGATCAGTTGCACAATTAGCTTTTGGGACAAGTTTTTATAGGTCTTCAGATTTGTGTAGAATATTTATATAAAGGGTCTGGTACTAAACACCCATTACCTTATTAATCTTGCACTGTACCAGTGAATATTTTACTCATAGATGGCATTCTATTTATTTTTTCCAGACTTTTTTAATTTAATTTTTTTAAATTTGTGTTCCTTGAACAGGTTTCATTCCTAAGGAAATGGTCACTGCAGAGGGAGTATTTAAATACATATGCTTAGGCATTTATTCTCCCTTTTCCTTCACCAGTTCCTTGCTTCTTTCTACCTCTGTTGATTTAGTAGCTATGGTATCTAGAAGTGTAATATGTTTGTTAAAGCTTTCAGGGCAGCTGCTGAAAGGGCTTTTCTAGCTGAAAGAAAAATTAATCCTCTTTTAAAAATAAAATCAGTGTGTCTAGAAACTGTAATGCATTATTTTACAAAAAAACTAGCTCCATACTCTTAGGGCATAATCATTTCTGGATCAAAGCAAAATTCTTAAGCTTCAATATCAAATACTGAATATAAATGTATTCATATAAGGAGACATTACCTAAACTTATGCAAGGAATCATCTTAAAGAATATAACTGACAACATACTCATCCGTAGCACCTTACTGCTGTCTAAAATCTGATCAGTGCAACCTGTTTCAAACAGATACAGTTGCTATAATCTTGACATCAGTTTTAGCAGGGAAATGAAGTTGCATTTAAATACTAGCTCATTTCTTAGAAGCATGCTGTTGTTGCCCAGAACAGTCTTGTGATGAACTATAATAGAATGTAGCAGCAGAAATAACACTGAATGCAATCTTGTCCTTCATAGCCTCAGTCCTTATTCTAGAACTTGGGTTTCTGTGTGTTAGTACACGTGTACTATAGCTAGATTGCATGTAGTGTTCTGAGCAGTTAATGAGTCAATTATAATATGTCTGAGTGTCTCTACTATATCAGAAGTGATAACCTACTTAAACTGTCTTTTGTGTGATACTTTTGTACTGTTTGTATTTTGTTATTTATTTCTTAATACTTTAATGTATGTTCTTTTGAGAGTACCTATAAATTTAAGTATATTTAAAATAAAAACTGTATTGTTTTAATGTGGGAAACAAGAGCTATTTTAATAAAAAAAATACTACACGTTTTGACGTATATGGTTCAAGATACTAAGGATACTTTATCTTTGGTAATTTCTCCTTTGCAAGACTAAAAGACTGCTTCTCTGCTCTCAATTTTTTTTCTTAAGACATCTTTATTATCATTTTTTTGTAGCAACATAGTTAACTACTACTAAAAAAAGGTTCTGTCTATGCCATCTTGATACAGTGATTATGTCTGAGGAGCAACTGCACAGAACTGTCTGGGACCATGAGAAAATGCATGGTAACGAAGTATACTACTTGGTAACAGATTGAAGGGATGTCTAAATGATTACCATGAATACTTGCCGCTGCTTTTCCTCAAGGTAGAGGGAATTGAAAGTATCAGACCATTAGCTGATTAGCCATGAAAGCTGATGGAAGTCATACTTAAAAGTTTTGCTTCTCTGGTAACTGCTATAAGACTCTTATTTTTACAGAAAACTTTTAACTCTTTGCTCCTGCTTAAATATTCTTGAATGATGTACTCTGAAAATACCAGTATGTCAGACTCCTCTTTTTGAGGCTTTTTCAGTGAAAAATGTAAAACTGTAATGGGATACACGTTTCCTCAAAATGTTCTGTACCCTGCCTTTCCTTGCTATAATGTATCTGCAGTTATTCTAAAGCTCAGCAAGTCTAGCCTATGTATTCTCATGAAATGATATTCTGACTATACTGTAACTCATTAGTGATGAAATCATGGGTTTCCACAAAGGTATATTTAAAAAAGCTTGGCACTGTCACTTATCTTAGGTTGTATTTCTAATAGAAAAGTCTTCATTTTAATGCATTGGTATCATCTGCAGAGCTATGTTTGCCTCAGGATATAAGAGGCAGGAATATTAGGTATGTTCGCTGCCTTGAGTTATATATAAAAAAGGCGGGACAAAATAATTCAAAATAACCACAGAAACAAATTGAGGAACTTAAATGTTATCCCAGCACTTTAAACTGTTAACTAGCAATGCTGACATCAGTAGGTATAACATACACATTAAATACAACCTCCATTTTGATATTCTTAAAGATGACAAAGATGACACAGGTAACTCTACACTGATTTTACACGTTTACATTCAGGGTAAATAGTAATTACTAAATGTATAAATGTTTAGGACATATTCACACAGCTAAACTTGATGAAAAGTACTGATCTTTTACGGAACCAATTGTAAGTGGAGGAGCCATTTTCAACTAATTGTACTTTCTAGTGGAACTTTAAGACCAACCCCACTAAAATCTGTTATGTGTATTAATGCCATAAAATGTTTATCTGTTATAATAATCATTCTTAGTAAAAGTGTGACATCATTTTTATAGTAAATCTTTAATATCAAACAGATTTTCCATAGTTGCTAGTTCGGTTACAAAACAAGCTCCAAAATTTATCAGTGTTAATCTGCTGAACACCATAAATTGGGTTCATTTGAGAATACAGCCATAACTTTGATATAAATTATCTACAAAACCCAGTATAAACATAAGCTCTGTTCATATCAGTTCTACAAATATTAGGCAGGTTTACAGTCTTGTAAGCAACATGGGTACTGTAGTCCTAGAGTTCATTTCCATTTACAGATTTTTGCTGCTGTAATCTAGCTTTACGTAGTGCCTCCAACTGCTTTGCTCTTAGCCACCTCTCTCTTGATAGTGTTGTCTGCCCAGCACTGAGAGAAAGGAACCTATGGACAAGAAACAGAGATAAGAAACTTCTTGTAGAATACAAACTTCAACCTTTTACTATAATCAGCATGAGGCAAAAGTAGGAAGCATTTAAATGGGAAAACCTATGTTCACAGAAAGGTATACCCTGAAGCTCACTTAATTTAAGGATTCCCTCTTGGTGTTTATAGGAACACATCTGTGCATTTTCCTTTGCAACAGCAAGGGGTTTACCCTTGTTTTCTTCTGGGACTGGTTCATGATTTCCTGAGCCAACAGCCCTGGAATTCCCTGATACTTCCTCATCCAAGTGCCAACAGGCCTGATAATGCTTCGCTTTTGACCTAAGATAATGTTTGCTAGATGCTGCCATCTGTTGAGACAAAGCCCATTTGGGCTTTACAAATAAACTCGCTCTGGGATCAGATACTTAATGTAGCTCTGAAAACAACCCAATGAATTATTCTTATTTGGTCACAACCACAGCATATGGGGGACTGCAACATGGAATGTGACAGGAGTATATGGTAAACAGCATGAATTAACTAATAAAAGAAAAATGATACAGCCAGTCCTCATTTAGTGGCTACCTTGTTTAGAAACCATTTGCAAGTATGATATTATTAATAAAACAATTCATTTTCTGGCCAATGCAGGCAATTTCATATACCTGGCAACTAAAGCCTTCAGTAACACTGATTAAGGTCTGGTCTGTTTCAGGCAGCAGCCAAGCAGGTGGGAGGGTTCTAATCAATAATTAAGGTCACAGAACTGAGCTTGTTAACTTGCAGTTAACTTGTGATTAGCACTTTTTAGGGAAGTGCTGTGCTGTGGAGAAAGGCAGCTTAAGAAGAGAGCTTGTTTAAGCAATTTCTCCACCCTGCGAGGGAGCCAAAAAAAGGGGGGGGGAGAATGGGTCAGGAACAGGACACTGTAGGAGAAAACTATCTACATGAGATGGCAGCAACCAGTTATCTTTGCAGCATCTCTAAGTCACATATTCACTTAGCAACCTTTTTGCTTCTGATTTAAGGGATGGATTATGGACACTAAACAAGGAAAGGGTGCACATTGTGTTTGTGGAACTAAGAGGAGAAGGATGTAATGAAGTTGAATGAAGGTGATCTAACTTCATGGAGTACAGCTGATGAATATATGAAGTTAAAGTATATGTTTGATTATAAATGAAAGAGATAAAATATGTTTCAGAAAACATGAATTTGAGGCATCTAAATTTACTGTGAGTGCATACAAAAGTAAATTCATATACAAGTAACAGTTATACTGCAGAAGATGATAATGGAAGAACCAGCAGCGAGTTAGGGGGAAACTTGTGTAACATTCTGAATGAACACAAACAAGGGAAAATAATTCTATTAGGTGACATATCATTTTTTTCTTCAACAAATAATGGTAACATCATTCCACCAGGGATCCTTTTTCCTAATGCCAAGAACTTCTGTAGCACTCTGTACCCAAGGGGAGCAGGCTGCACTATAAGCCCCTCTGAGCTCCTAAAGGAGGGCCGGTGATAAAATATGTGAAATGTTGAAAAATGGCAAAAATGCAGTCACCCACATCAAAGGCCTGGGCAAAGAGTGAGGACTTCAAGGGCCCTTCAAAACACCAGTAGGGTGGGGGCTGTCTGAATCTCAGAGGAACCTCATTCCAGAGTGCAGGTGCTGCCAGAGAAAAGGTGCACTTTGGGGTCCCAACATACGGTTTAATTGAAGGAACCTGGAGTGCGCCAACCCTGCTGGATCAAATCAGTCACGGAGATACTATGAGAGACAGGCGATCCCTCAAGTAACCAGAGCCTATGTCATATTCATAAAGGGTTTGAGTACTTTTTCTTTAGTTTTGGGTACCCAGTCTCATTATTTTCTTCCTTTTTACCTGGCTTTTAGTTTGGGAACATGAAAAATCTGTCTATAAAACAAGCTGTTACACAGTCTCTGCACAAATGGTAACAACTTCTTTAAATGCTGCTGAGTCCACTTCTGCTGCTTTGTTAGCTATCAGCCTCTCCCTTTTTCATGCAGTCTTTTCTCTAGTTACATGTGCCATTTTATGTGTTTCTGTCCCATGTATCTCTTTTGTCTCTGTGTCTTCTGGAGGTTTCACCTGGTGACAAGCTTCAACCCTGTTAAGCTGTTGTTTTTCTATTCTCTACCGCTGTATCAGATTATTTTTCCCTTAACCAGGTTGCTTCAAACTGCATCATAGAAAGTAAACTATACTGAAAAGAAGTTCCAAGTGGAAAGATGCACATGCTTAAAGGCTGAGTCCAAGTCTGTGATCCCTTTGGTAAGTGATACTTCAGCAAACTACATAGAATTTGCACCTTTACCTTGCTACCAGCAGAGTCCTATGAAGATCATCAGCTGTTATACTCTCAGGATCATTTTTACGCATTTCTACAAAATCATCTTCTACTGCCTGTTGAAGAGATCGATTAAAGCATATCACTTAACTTAGATTTGCCTCCCAAAAGTCCAGTAATAATTCTAGGATAATTCTATTCAATCGAATGCTATTTTTAGCCAGTGTCTTTGAATGTGAGAGTAGCGCTGTTTTAAGAATTTTTCTACCGAATGAACATATTCTCTTCAGCCATAAAATATTTTCACATCCTACATTTCTATTAAAAGGAATATAGTTCACTAATTTATACAGTGCCAAGATCCAACCATGATTTCACAATGGTCAGGGAAGGACCATACAAGGAATTTCCATTACAATACAAGAACCATGTAAGAATGCTTTCTTGATAGCATTTCTAAATGTTGAGTTCAGTCTAAGTTTTTTTTTTTAATTTGTCAATGGCAAGAGCTGCTTTTTCGGGTGGCATGCATTTCCTACCCCAGATTGGCACTTTTTGAACATTTTAAGTGTTCCATGTTCCAGTGGAACAAAGCTTCAAATGCTTTAATGTTTTGCCATAGGGAGCAACAGAAATTCAGAACAAGCCTCTTCCTCCTTGCTATTTCATTCTAGGTCAGAATGGGGGTTGAGTGCTTTCTACACTCAGCATACACCCTAACCCTAAAAGAATTATTTGTCCCAATATGAATACTTAACCATAAAATGATTTCTATACCTTTGTGACTTCATCTGATATGCTATAATCCAGCAGTCTCAACAAGCTTAGATAGATGCGGAACTTGTTGAGGATTGATGGCAGCACGGCTGTGAGAAGGCTGTTCATGTGCTCCTCCATATTAGGGGGAAGGAGCTCTGGCTGTAGATGGACTTGGCAATCTGACTGTGGAAAGAAGGTTTAAATTATTATTTCTCTTTTCAGTTATTAATCCTATGCATGAGAAAGGTAGCAATCTTCATTGTAACAAAGCACCAAAAGAGTTAAGGAAAACATTTTATATTGGCTCTGAAAGAGTATACTTGCTATAGAGCTCTGTCTGACATCCTCAGTCTCCATACAAAATTAGAGATAACAAGAATCAGTTTAAAACTTTTTTTAGCTCAATTGGTCTAATTATCTACAAATGCAATAGTACCATAACGATTGTGGATTTAAAAAATAACATACAAAATCATACACTTTAAGGTTATGTGATCTATATGTGAACCTTGTATTATATACTATTTGTGTTCCTTCAAGGTCTATAATGTCAAGCACATGTCCACACAAAAGCAATGTATTGCTCAAGTACAGTACCCAGAATGAACCACTGATGTACAGCACAGTTAGCTAGCTTGGGGTAGAGTGTGCTCATTCTTCTTTAAGAAATTACAAAGAAGGAAGGTTAGGGAAGCTTTGCTATACCGGGAGGAGTGATCTGCCCTCTGAGGTGATAAAGACATTAATGTTGCATGGGAATTCCATCTGATGGTAACTGAAGTCATAATCCACCTTTTGCCAAGTTATCAGGTGGCCCAGTGCTTTCACATTGTGTATACCTACAGAACACAATAATGAAAAAATTAAAAAAAAGTTGATTATAAAACTTTCAGATATAATACAAAATATTGTATTTTAATTTTCAGTCTTCAAGAATTCTGTCCTATGAATTAGTATGTAAAACCTACTTCCTAGGTAAAACTCTGCTAGGTGTTAGGATGCTGACCAAAATATCACTGGAAACTAGGAGAAATCCTGCATAAATAACTTTTTCTTGCAAAACCAAGTATGAAAATGTAACATTAATCAAAGAGGAAATTATAAACTATATTAAATACTTTTAATACTACAATGCAATACTTCAATGTGGTGTTTCAGAAGTAAAAAAAATTATAAAGAGCTTCCCCCCCTCCCCCAAAGTAACCCTTAGTGTTAGTTCTAGTGTTGCTGCTCTGAAAGGCTTCAGCAACCTGGGTTAAATGTAATTGAGGAGAGTATCTTTGCAGCAAGCCTGGTAAATTGACTAACAGCAATAGGAGGAAAGTATTGTGATATGACATTAATGGCTAATATTGTTCCCCTGCCTTTTTGGTATTTAGATATTTTATTTAACCTCTCATTAGATTCAGCTTGACTACAAGGACAAGCCCATGCAGGTTTCCTGGCAACAACAGTAAAATATTTTAGTTTGTCATTGTCTTGTTCTATGATATTTTTTGACTTTCCAGTCTAGGTTACAGCCTTGGTATATCCTGGTAGTCTCCCAATTTATCTTTTGAGCCCAAACAAAACAGTCTCAGGCCCCTTAATACAAGTAATATCATTGCCCTTGCTTATTTCTTAACTCCCATTATATTTTTCTGGAGAAGATGAGCTTACAAAAGTATTGCAGTGCTTATTTGTCAGGACCAAGGACACACATTCATGTTCTTCTATCAGCTGGAAGCAGCAGCAGCAGCAGCAGCTGTACTGTATCACTCTTAAAGACTATTACCCCTGTCTCACAGGGGGAGTATTCGCTTGAAATGCTTAATTTAGTCTAAGCTGTGGATGAAAAGTTTACTTATGGGTTTATAAGTGACTCTATGAACCACAGCTAGTCCACTCTGTCAGTTGATGCCAGCTATTTTTGTGATGCCTAACTGCCTGATATTTTTCCTGTATCCTCCCATCCCACTCCCTTTTGAAAAACAGACAGACAACAGTGGGCTGATTGGGGTTATAGCCACTGGGAAGGGGTAGGAAAAGGAGATCCTCTTCTATTATCTTGGTGTCTCTGTTTCAACTGTGTTATTTTGGGACTGATAAAAGAGCTTAGTGCAGTAGAAACCCTGCAATTGGAATGACTCCGTTGTCCAGCCAAACCTGTCTATGTCTATGACTCTATGGCTAAAAGCTATTAAGTTGAATTTACCCTTTCGTTTGGATGACATATGGAATCATTGTTAACATTAGTAAATTAGAATCAAATCTGTACAGAGCACTTTAACCTAAGATTCAGTTTCAGACAATATTGATACTGTGATTTAGCATGTACAATACAACCAAGTCATGATCTGATAGACAAAGGAGAAAGAAAGAGTGTGTGAATATTAAAAACTCCTGATCATAATTTATCTTCCCCCAGAACTAGAAAAGGTCCTCTAATATTCTTCAGTTGGAATTGAAGGATTGATAATGAAGCTCAAGCTCAGATACTTTGGTCACCTAATGCGAAGAAAGGACT